GGCTTTCCTGGGACTGAAGACAGATGTCACACAAAACAAAGCCAATTCCAGCTGAACTAGAAGGTATTTTTTGCAGCAAAATCGAGTATGATAGCCCTTTGTTCCTCCCATCTCTCAACGCACGCTTCTCTTACTTGCCCTTATTCCTTCAAAGGAATAATCCATTTTCTCACACATCAGAGAATTTTCTCAGCCATCTAATTTCCCTTCATTGAGGCTTTTCTCTCATTCCAGAGTCGCTTTGATAGCAACACTGAGCTCTACTTAATGAAGATATGAAAATTTTCTTTGTAATGCAATGCAAAACCTTTGCAGAAAGCAGTCATCTTTACTCTAGACAATTAAGACCAATTACTGAATATCTGAACACACTGCACGCAGCCTTAAAGCCAGAAATCCTCTTCAAATTACCTCTTAAACCGATGACACATATTGTCATTTGATGAAGGTAGAACTTTTGACCACCTCAGACAAGTCTCAAAATTTTCCCAAATGAGTGCCAGGAAAAAAAAAAAAAATCTTGGTTCATTTTTAATACATCTCCTAAACAGTATGGAGCAGGAACTTTTAGCACTAGTAGTCTACCTTAATATTCCAGGAGAAAGTATAGTTCTGTATTGTTGTCTTTCTCTTCTGGATACGCAGGTGGCCTACAATCTGCTCGACTAGCCAGCAGCAAAATAGGGTCTGGTTCAACAGCTACTAGCTAATACAATTATTCAAACCAGAACAGAGTGAAAACACTTTGACTTTTACATTGATTTAAAGGTAAATGTGCCAGCATAAGAGAAATTAGGACAATTACATGATCAAGACTGCAAATGAGGGAGAGTGGAAAAAAAATAGAGACATAGCGAATTTCAGACAATTCAACTGACAAGGCAGCCATCAGTTCAGAGTCCTCTGAGCCAAACCTGTACTGTTTTTTAGAAGAAAATTGCCAGTTGTGGTAAAGGCTTTACTCCAACTTCAAACACTTTCACTCTGCATTCTGAACTCATAAGGATGACAAAAAGCCCCTCACTGCAGGCTCAGTGGTACAGGCACCCAGTGTCTTTGCCTCTGCTTCTGTAGATCCACTAGAGGGAGATCCTAAATTAAACAATCTCAAATTATGCCAGCAATACAACAGGTGAAGATGCCAACTGCAAGACAGATCAATTACATTTTTCAAATATATGCAAGAGAAGAAGACTCTGATTTTTTTTTCTTTTTAAAGAGTGAGAATGAGCTGTAACAGCTGACTTGCAAACCAAAAGGATGCCCACAAAATAATCTTTAATATTCCTCAGAAGTCATTTAGATTTCTATGAAGCCTTGCATAAAGTATAAGATTCTTCTACAGCTTTATGAATTTCTGAATAGCATGCTCAGCTAACATTAAAACTGCTTTCCTTTTATGAACAAAACACAACTTAAAATAACCAAGCTAATAAAAGAAATTGCCAAAATGAGAAAACACAGCAGAAAATAAGGCTACTGCCAGAATCAAACTTTAATTGTAAGCAATTCTAAATAAAAGGGAAGTTATCTACATAGGATTTTTTATTTTACTTGAGTTGGAGATTCTATATGCTGGTTTAGATACACTAGGAAACACAGCAATTTACATAAATTAATAGATAGGTTGTCCTCTTCAGGTACAGATTCCTGAAACAGTATCATCAGAATACCAACTAGGACTGCATGTTAGAAATTTTTAAAAGTCTACCACATAAACTGAATAAAACAAAACTATCAATATATAATTTATTGATCTTCACATACTAGCACAAATTCCTGTAATATACACTCAACACCTTTTTGAAGAAGGCTAATTTGTTTATAGAAGAGGGGGCGGTTGCAATCCATTTCCTGAAAACGAAGAGCTAATATTTGAGCCTCAAAGCCAGCGACCTAAGCAAATATTCAGCTATATCAGAGATTCTAGGGGAAAAAAAATTAATACCAAGGATTCATTTCTAGCTGCACTTTTAGAAAATTATACCAACCACAGAGAAAAGAAATGCATTAAACTTTGAGCAAGGAGTCCAATTAGTTTGTTTCTAAACTGCAAGCTACTTAGTGTCTTATTTCCATTACTGAAGCAGGCATGTTCAGAAAGATACTTGATCTTTTTCACTTCTTATATTGATACAGGTTAGAAAAATTAAGTAATATGTACATCATACACTGACAAACCTCCCAGCTGATAAAACTAAGGAACATTTGTTGACAGTATTCTAACACAGACACATTATGAACATTTATCCTTAAACATTTTCTGGAAATGGTACCAGGCTTACAAAGCGATTCTATATGCAAAATTATGAAATATTTTACAAGCAGCAGTGCAAAACTACTCATCTTCAGACATCTGCTGAAGTGACGCTGATAACGTCAAGCTTTGGTTTTACTTCACCTTGATAGAAGCTAGTGCACCTGTATGTCTGTGAAATAGGTAAGCGATAGCTAATCTTGAACAGCCACAGTCCTTCTTGGCTGACAGAAGTCACAGAAGAACAGTTACCTCCTCCTGTAATGAGGGTGTCCACCATTAGTCTGTGATGCAGCTAATTAACGCATGTGACCTGTAGCTAGTACTACCAAGTCAAATCATGGGAAAGAGAAACAAAGAGACCATTTTACAATTCAGAAAACTTAAGAGGTTACAACCAGTCACTATCAAACATAATTACACAACTTAATTCATGTCGTTCTCAGCCCTACATCTCATAGCTGTTAAGAACAAACTAGGTAGACTACAGCGCTGTAGCCAGGAACCGGGACACGGTACTACAGTCATACTCAACTCTCATTTCACGAACCACACAAAAATCCACCTGAAAACAAAACAACCCCCAGTCACCAGGGACTAATTGGTATTAAATTGAATGAAGCAGACAAACTCAAAAGTGAAGGGCTGCTTCAGAGAGCAATGAAGAGACTACTGGCAGAATGATTTGGAAAAATTCATGATTTGGGATGAGCAGGGGACTGAATTCTAAGCACAGATTTTTAGACTCATTGCAAAGCTCAGCTTCCCTCTTCTTCCCCCCCATCATTTAAGAAATTACTGAAGTGATGCAACAGAAAGAAGAGTTATTTTCATTGAGGAGTTTACTCCCATGGAATTACATCGATTCTAAGCTATTGTTTGCATGACATTTTGTATTATTAAAATCACATTTGTGGAACTCCCTAAAAACTATTTTAGTTTTGTCCAAATCTAAATAATGAGTCTTTATGAACTGCAGTGGCATCTTAGTTCAATAAGATTTCTACTACTGAAGAATGTAACAACGTAGTTGTTAGCCCACTTATATTTTACCTAAAACAGCAAGAGAACCAGTCATTGGACGAATTACAGTAATCTGTGAAATGAAAAAACAGACACAGCGACCAATTAAAAAATGAGCACTGTGATGCCTGCCTGTCATTTCAGCCTCTCTAGTAGCTCAGTTTTAGTGTTAGAGGAGAAGTTAAATTAAATGATGAAAAATATATGTGCGTATGTACACATACACACTTGTTTGAAACATGCTGCACCAAAGTCCTCAAGTACAGGTAACAGGAAATAACATAAAACCTTCAAACTTGTGGTGATTACCACAAATCAGGCCTTTTCAAACTTTACATCAAATAAGTAGAAACCAGCACGTCCTATGTTCCCAAACACTGTTTGGGAGATAATGATTGTCCTGCTTTCAGCTGGGACAGAGTTAATTTTCTTCCTAGTACCATTCTTCCTAGTCTCGTACCATTTACATCATGCTCAGGTCCCACACTGTCCAATATATACTCATTAACCACCACACCCCTTCCTATCCATTAATGATAAACAGTCAGAATGCATGAAATACTATCAAATCACCCTTAGAGAAAGGAAAACTGAGGGATTGAGAGGAGAAAATATCCAACTGAGAGGTAGGAGAATGGGATGCACAACAGGGTTATTTTAGCTGGCAAAAAGAAATGTTATACCACCAGCTACCCTTTATATTTTGGCCTCGTATGCTGCGTAACAGCATAAACACTGCAGAATGTATCATCCCTCTTGGTCTAGATAGCTTAGTTTCAAAAGGTAAGTCTTGAAACAACTATCAGAATGAAAAGCAGCTTGATAAAGTCACCCTTTTTTGCTGTAGTTGAGACAGCGCTAGCAAGGTTATCTACAGCCTCTCTTCTACACAAGAGAAAGAAAACTGGCACAAAAGTACTATCTCTTGTTACAAGGGCAATCTTTAAAGTTTAATGAGGACAAAAGAATTCTATTTGGTTAAATGAACACAAAAGTCTCTTGAAGTCTTTTAAAATAAAAAACTCCTTCTGTAGGTGTCCCAGTGTTACAGTGCTGAATTTGCTGTAGAGCCTACCTAGAATATATTACAGACACCACTTGAAGACTGAAAGCCACTAATTTTTCCACCAATGTTTGAAACCCTCTAATGTCATCCTGTTCTCCAAACAAATTAAACGATAGATCTGTTGTCTGAATTATATATGCTCATCTGAATGTTACCCCTGGATCCAAGGTCTCCAAGCTAGAAAACTCTGTATGGTAAGAACTGCCAAAGAGGATGACCTGAAATCCAAAGTTTGGAGCGAAAAACACAAACATTTTCATAATAAACCAGTACTCAACGAGAAGGAAAAATACCAATACACATTAAGAACAATGGATGTCTCTAGAAATCCTGAAAAGTACCCTGATTAAGAGCTACATGTTTGTTGGTCAGGTGTTTTGGTTTTGTTTCCTAAAAAGGAAAGCAAAGTCATCAAGTTTCTGTATGTAACAGAAAACATGAAAATAGGTTTACTTGTTAGGAACTGCATTTACACAGATGGCAGTCAAGCTGAGAATCACTATTAAGCAGCAGCAATTAGGCAGACAAAACACCCAAATAATTAAAATGGCTAGAGGCCGAATCATTATTAGAAACAAGATTTACTGACTTTTATGCACAAACATTGAACAATTTTTTTTTAAAAAAAAAAAAAAAAAAAAGAGAGACTCTTACCAGCTTCCTGTGAATTTAATACTTCTAAGGCATGCATCATGGCACTTGCGAAGACATTGGCATCTTCCTTGCTGCCAAAATTCAGACCATACACCTGCCTAGCATCACGCCACTGGTGGAAGGTCTGTGTAGCCTGATTGTACTTCAGCCCTTTCGGAATGGCACAATTTATTACCACCTATAATCATAAAAAAAAAAAAAAAATTACTTACGTTTAAAATTGCTACTTCATCACAAGTTTCAGCTTCATGTAGATTTTATTCCCTAACCATGTGAGTTAATTCCAGTTCCACAAATCCACAAGATCACAATGCTGAAGCACAGTCGTTTCAATTTTAATTCCGATGCCATATGAAATCAGTGAGGAGAATACACAAGGGAACTAATGAGATATTTTGTATCAACTTTTGTAGCTTAAGCGTTCTCATTTCAAATGATACAGCGATGTTTCATAACAGCAGTGTAATAAAATTAACTGTTCTGACTTTTAGTAGAAGAGTACTTGATGTGAATATGCATTTGGATTTCAGAAACTCAGTTTTCTGTTAACTTCACAGATTTAGAATTGTTAGAACTATGTTTTTTAACCAAGTTACCACCTTCCCACTGCTGCATCCCTTAGCTTGCCGTACTTTCAGCAGCAGTTTATGTGGACTTCTACTATGCATCACAAGGTATCATTTTGCAAGACTGTTATAGCTCACACAAAAGGTGATAAAATCTAGCTAGTAGGATGACCATTTATTATAAGCTACATTCCACTAGGAGGATCCCATTGCACTTGGATAACTATACCCTCTCACCTTTTTCCACTGAATAATGGGAGAAAAAACAAAAAACCCACCCCACAACTGGTTTGTTCTCGGATGAATGCACAGAGATCATTTATTTTTGGAATATGTGTGATAAATGACCAAGAACAGACCAAAAGAATTTTATGAAATGCTGGGAGAGGAGGAAACAGACATAGAAGCTTTCCTCAAACAAGAAGATTAGATCTTTAACCCCAACCCAAGTATCACAAGGCAGAGCATATTTCAAGAGAGTGCCAAGTTCACCATTTAATCAAGATCTAGTAACTTCTTTATCAAGGAAATTAAGATGTAACCCTTGTTGCTCCCTTCTCAACCTCTCAAAGTGGTAGGTGATCAGCATCACCAAATGTCTTTTTGAATGAACTGGAAGTGAAAAATCATACATCCAACTCTTCATAACATAGGAAGAACTACAAGAGAACTGTTGGTACCTACATAGACTGCAGCTAAGAGCAGAGAGTAGGGAAGAAGATAAGTTCTAAGGTTGACACTTTGCCTTAAAGAGAATCAGATTACTTCTGTGTACATCATTAGCCTTTATGTCTGTCTGCAAGAAGGAATAGTAAAGAGCGCACAAAGCCTGTGGATGTATATAAGGTGCTTAGTTTATGGGGAAAAAGCCGTAACACAGTTTTGCTACTTCAGTTCAAGATAAAGGTAAATTTATTATTTACAGTTCCCATAATTTCACTGAATACCTATTTTCAATTTTAAAAACAATCACAAAAATAGCTTACGATTCCTATTCCAAATTTTCAGGGCTTCACTTACCTGATGATCCTGAATCTTCCTGCCTACTACTCTGAATGTGTTGTTGCCTGTGTGATGATATATATGAACTCTGCTGAATCCAGTTGATCCACCAGCTGGTACCCATTTCTTATTGGCATCATCGTAGACCATTACAGCAGCCCGTGCTTGGCAGATACTCTGTTCACTGTTAAAATACAAGTATTTTAGAGTAGAACATAAAATTACTTATGGCAAATAATCATCTTTTTGGTTAACTTTTTTTTTTTAAAATTCAAAATGTTAAAGTAATACTCCTTGCAACTTGCTGAAACATCCACCTTTCTAAATACAAAACCGCTAGCACTTTGACTTTTGCTTAGAGGTGTTCATTCTGAAAAGTTGTGGTTGAGACAAACAGACCTAACTACTACTGAAAGTCACCAAGAAGAGATTTCCCTTTTTTTTTTTTTTTTTTCCCTCCACATTTTCACCTTGCAGGTTTCCCCCCTGCTTCTCTTTACCATCAAACATGAAGTCTAATTAAGTGCCATAACCATATGCGGTTTTCTCGAAGACTGGAGAACAAAGAATCTGGAGTTGCACTAGCTTCACATAGTTTACATTTTCCAGTGGCAATTACTTCTACAAGAAATGACGATTGGAAGGCCCTCGCCCCTTTTAACATATATAGAAGAAAACACACACAGATGATAAAGTTCAGCACAAAAAATTCACCTGCTCATAAATGAAATGCTTTTTGGTTTTGACATTTTACAACAGTTGACACCTAGATGTTACATTTTCTCCCTGAGAAAAGGTTCTATTGATTACTGAAAAGTGGATTTTCATCAGTAGCTAATCCTAATTATGGCAGTCATCTGGAAGCTAAGGTACAGCCTAAAAGTTAAAAGGGAGCATAACATGAAAGCCATCATATTAGAAACACAAGAAACATACCATGAACACACTACTTATTAGGAGAGGAGTGGGTGATACTATGCAAGTTGTCTTTATGGTAAATGTCCAGATGCAGACAGGAAATAAAAATAGAAAGGAATGATTTCTTATCAGTAAGTCAAATTCTTGGAACATACCACTCCAGCACATCCAACATTATAGAAAGCACATGATGCCTGGCTTGCAAGGAATGTGGCCTGCCATTTGGAAAAACTGACAAGGCTGAAGAGACATGCATTCTTCATAAATTACAAAAGGGAAGTAATATCTTATTTCCATCTCCCAGCGCAAGAAAATTCAGCAGTGTATCCAGCTGTTTTGTTAACTTTCAATACTGGCATTTTTGAGAAAACTTAGTGTCAATTTCTATCACACTTTCCATGGCACGCCAATAACTAGAAGAGTGCTTCAACACTGGGATGCTTTTCAAGGCTAGGGAAGAAAAGAGAACACTAAGATCATTTCTCTTATGCATGTAATATTCAAGATCAGATGAGAAAATATATTCTTAAAGAGACACATGTTCTAGTCTCATCACCTATTCAACAACTAGATCAGAATGGGATAACAACCTCTAATTAGATGATCCTTTTTCCAGCCAGAAATTAGCTCAATATAGGGATAGTAAAATTATAATACACATATATACGGTGCTGCTTTTCTAAGCATAGTTTACAGTTTAGACCGAAAGGACCACATCTGATCCAAGAAGAAAGATTAGATGTCAAGAAAATAAAGTTAGTTGAAAGTTTCAGGTGTTTCACAGTCCCATTAAAAACATGCCACAGGTAAATAAGAAGGTTGCTCATCTGAGAAGAGGACAATGCAAGAACCTACTGGTTATTTTTTTTATTTTTAGAATACTTTAGCACACAACTGTCTTAAAGTTCAAACCAAGAAACATTCTGTACTGTTCACAAAGTACAGGACAAGCAGTAGTGGTTTTCTAAAATGCGTAACAGTATTACAGAAAACTTGAAAATTGTGAACCCGAAACAGATTTTTGCTACATTTGAATTTGGATCAATCACAGGCATGATAAACCATAGTTGACAGGACCTAGACACTGAGCCATGTGGTTTGCAGAGTTCTTGCCAAAAAATAACTTCATCTCAATCATGTGTCAGACAGATAAAAAATCATTTAGATTCTATTAAAAATTGAGACTATGAGTACAAGCTAATATGTTCCAATTACACTGAAGGTAGAACCAGAGAGTTAGAGTAATGGTACAGCGATCAAAAGACTTAATTAGTAGGACAGATGACCAAGTTCAGACATTATTATTCGGAGCGTTCTCACTCTTTGCCCTGCCGTCAACCTTCCACAGGCCTAAGTCTTCTAAAAGTTTTTACATGATTTTATTTAACATAACAAGAAAAAAAAACCCTTCCAGTTTTAGAACTATTTGATATTCAGGTGGCACAACTCATAAGCACAAATAAGATGACCTTGAGTAGAATTTCTAGCTTTTCTTTAACAACTGCTAAACTATTTTTAGTTCCACTTCTCAGGCTATGCCTTATAACTGGAAATATTACACAAGTCTAGATCTCAAGTATTTCATGCTCCATTTAAAATAAAAGAATTTTCTTAATAGCAGGGGATGATTCTTACCCATATAAAGAAAAAAGATGATTCACATACTTTAAAAAATGACAAATACAAACAATTTCCAGTTGACCTATTCAATCACTACACAATAAGACTTCTGCCTTAATTTCACACAAATCCTATAACTAAAATTTTAATGTTCCAGGTCTATAATTTTCACATCCAGGTACCAATTTGAAGGTGACATATTCCCCTCCTGCCAACAGTTCCCACCACCCATCACTTTGTTTATCAGACTGCAGCCGTAAGATGGAAAAATGAAGCTATCACTATCAGGAAGAAATTAAACCATCACAGTGTGCTAGCCTTTTTCCAGGGTTCAATAATTGCACATTACTAGACGTAGGCGAGATTAATTCAATTTCTTTCTTAGTAAAAAGTTCCGCACTCTAAAGTGATTACATTTTGTTTTGAAGAGAAGCATGGACACAGGAGCTTTAGCAAAGAAGAATCTTTAGGTCTGCTCTTCAATGACCATTTGCTAGTTCAATGTTCTAATATAGCATACTGTATTACAGAAATTAGACACCATAAAGTAAGTACTTAAGTCTCGAAAAAAAAATTTGCTTTTTAAAAATAAGATGCATACCTGAAGTTCACTGACCTCAAAGGGCTACACTAAATCCAATATCCATGCTGTTAGCTCACGACTATCTTTGACAGGTCTAATGAAAAACAAGGTTTAGTTTTCTTGCCATGATCCACCTTTTCCTAGGAAAATGCTGAGTATAGCATACACTGCTACTAGAATCTGAGCCTTTTGTACTCCTCTACTATATATGAACTTAAACTTCAGTTCAAAGGAGCAGGAGCCAAGTGAATCAGAACAGTGTCATTTATCATATTTCTTGCTCTTTAAGCTTATTACACTTCCTTGCTGTACTTCTAACAGGAGGCAGGTCATAATTTCTTTCAGTATTTATACATGAAGCCTTCACAGTCCATAAAGTTTTCTTCAATACATATGTCCCTTAGACTGTAGGAACTGACCATAAGTTGCTAGATGACGACTTACTTCATTCACTGCACCAGAATCACTTTGGTCTGATCACAAATGCATTTTTTTTATGGACAGATTACTTTAGCATAGCGGGACAGATCAAATTGTCTACAGGCATGTTGCAAGAGAAAAGGAAAAGGGTCTTTATCTATTTGCTATGTCATTAGGCCTTCAAAAGCATCCTACAGGGCTTACTTGTACATCTACAAATTTTCCCTTTTCTGGTGTACTGTACTGGTATAATGGTTCCAGAAACCATTACCCTTGGATTAGCCTGCACCTTCCCAACATGACAGTTCATCACGAGATTCAGGAGAATAAGCGAAGGGATCCATCTCCAGCTTCAAATGCTTCTGCCAAAGACACAGCTGCTCAAAGAACTGATTGCTAACTTAGGGCAGTAGGTTGTGGAACTAAAGTGACAATCTAAATATTGATTAAGAAAAAAAAATTGTCTGTTCCCAAGTAAACTTACCAAACTAAGTATACGAAATTATATGCAGAAAAGGGAAAAATCTGTAAAAGGGAACATTCATGCAAAACAGTGCTTACAAAACCTTAGGAAACAAATTGTACAAGCTCTCTTCCCAAAATGTAAAGCTTGACAAATAGCTGGATAAATATATGTCAGGAGGAGTTCTCTAGACAAAGATGCAAGGCTCTGATTGTTAAAGCCAACCATTATTCTGGATAAGTCCACCTACAGCAATACCATATAAAGCGAAAGACAGGGTGGTTGTTTTTTATTTGGGGTGGAAGAGTGGGGGGAGGTCTGGCACTCAAAAGGCTCACACAAAAAACCACAGTAGTAATGAATCATAAGTATGAGATTATTCTTATGGGAGACTATATTTTCCTCCTCCAGTGATGAGATCATACGGAAAGCTCAAAAACCATAGCAAACTGAACCCTAAGAGACATCATTCTTTCACCCAGATGGAATGTGTTCATTCTTTCACATCCCAAGTTCTTAAGCTCAACACACAGTGACACCAATGCACAGTCTGCTGACCTAAGCCTTTTTTTTTTTCTCCCCAAAAAGTAGATGCTTGGTTTTCCTCTCTCAAGAACTAAAAAGGACACACAGACTTAAATGATCAAACTCATATGGAAAACAGCATGATTGCAGCCACAGAAAAGATCGTTTAAATATACTAACAAGATCAAGGAAAAGCTGCGATTGCTCTGATTCTCAACCTTTAGTATTTTTGTCAGTGATGTAACAATGAGGTTTTTTGAAAATCATATCCCACTACCGCTTCTTCTGGTGATTCAGGTTTGTTTTTTTTTTTTTGCTATGTTCTCAATTTACAAAAACATAACAACATGTTCTTAGATGTGCAGTCTTTGTGGGGCAGAAGGAATGGAAAAAGACGCTGATTCATCAAATGCCTGTTTAGGATTTTCAAACCATGTGGCACAAAGCTAGAAAGAAACTCCAAACATTTCCAGTACTAACATCCTAAAATACACATTTTTTAAAAAAAGCAGCTTAAAAATGCTGGTCCAGACATCAAGTTTTATATCTTGGCAGTGGTGTTTTCTAAGATGATTTTTCCTGCTTGTTCCTGAACCCCGACTGGCACATCACAGTGAAAATGTGTGTTCTCTGCTTCACTATTAAAAAAGCAAAACCAACCAAAATGCAAAGAAACCCAAAACATACTGTGTACTGTACCACTACTTTCTATTAACTAAAACAGACACTCTGTAGATAACATTGCCATGTATTCAAAAGCTGCTCATTTGGCTTAACTCAAGAATTAAGCTACTTGGTTGCGGCTTAAAGTTAACATAAAAATGCCCTCAAATATGTTCCTCACATTATGGTCTGCTGAAAACCAGACTGAACTGAACTACGTAGATTAATATTTATTTTGGGGAGTAGGGGAAGGGGTTTGGATTTGTTGAGAGGGGTGGGTGATATGAGTGGGTAGAGGGGAACAACTTTGGGACAATTAAGTTTTTAACTCATAATCCACTGCTTTAATTCTACTCGTTTTTTGAGCTTTAGCACTTTAGCCAAAAGCAAATGTCAGAGGAAGCCAAGTATAACAGTTACCATCTCCTCCTGCCAACTAGACTGGCATCCATGCCACCAACAGGACATCATGAAAAAAATATAATCTGTCTAGGCTCAGCAATGGTTAACATAGCAGTTCTTAAAATAAATTCATTTTCTCTGTAACTCATCCTCGGTTGAAAGGTAAGAACCTCAACTTCTTCTGTGTTAGTAAAACCTAGCCGAATATGCTGCTGCAGGGGAACATTACGTGCTTGGTACAGAAGAAGGAACTATGCTGTGCTATGCTAGTTGCATCCAACTTCAAATTATGCGGCTTGCCCACACCAACGCTGCAGCTAGTACAGAATTTAGTTGCTATTCAGGTTTTAAAAATAACACTAAATTGAGACCAGCTGATTTATCTGACTGGTTTTCATGCAGATTCTTCTTCTGACACTACGACCCCCCTGAGGACACGAGTGGTTGTTGATTTCTTCCACCAGGTCAAACTCAAACAGGAGCTGCTGTTCGAACGAGA